CCTCTCTCTCTCTCTCTTTCTCTCTCTCTCTCTTCTTCCTTTTGGGCATCACAGTTTGCAATACAGATACAGAGAGATTATCGTCTTTGTTCCTTTACCTAATTTCAGCATTCAGTTCTTATCCAGAGTGATCATTTTCAATAATCATTGCCATAGTGGTCCCTTCTCTATCCCAGCTGCTTTCACCTCCAGTACCAGAGGCAGGCTTCCACTTCCAACCATGGACCAATCCTCCTGGGCTGTGTTTCTCCTGTCCTTGGGTTTCTCCTGTCTCATACTATGTGATTTTTTTAATGTCCCACAAATGAGTGCAATCATTCTATCTATGTCCCTCTCCTTCTGACTCATTTCACTCAGCACGATACTTTCCATGTTTGTCCATTTAGAAGCCAATTTCATGACTTCATTTTTCCTAACAGCGACATAGTATTCCATTATATAGATGTACCATAGTTTCTTTTTCTAATCATCTGTTCTCAGGCACTCAGGTTGTTTCCAGATTTTGGCCATTGTCCATACCTGTTTAGATTGGAGATCTACTGTCTACATTGGGTGGAAGTGGGTGCCAGGGGGAGTGGTAAAAGGGTCACTATTGGAGACTATTTTGAGTCTTGCCTCCAAGGGGCCACTAGCGTCTGAAATGAGTGGAATGAGATCTATAGTCAAAGTCTGGATTTTGACAGCTGCTTTCCCCGCTGTGATCTAGTTCTGATATGTGGTTTCCATGTCAAGTTCTGCACAAGGGAAAAGAGAGGAGAGAAAAGAGAGGAGAGAAAAGAGAGGAGAGAAAAAAAGAGTCATATTTATATTTTCATGAGCTCATATTGCTAACAACAGTAACAGATAAGGGGAGGGTGATTCTCAAAGTCTATCAGTTATAAGTACTGAAGGGGGAGGAGGAGAAAAAGGAGGACGAGGACAAGGAGGAAGGAGGAAGAGGAAGAGGAAGAGCAAGAAGAAGGAAAAGGAGGAGAAGGTGACAAGTACCTCTTCTATAAGCCACAGGGGAACAGATGTGTTATGCTTGTTACTATTATTTTATTTAAATTAAGTACTCATGATGTGAGCAAAATGATGTGTGAAAGAGTACATAGTAGTTTTTGTTACGTAATAGTTAACACATTCCAGTATTTTCATGACTTCTTACCCCTTTGCCCCACAGTCACCATAATCATGTATTTAAGTCAAGACCTAAGTATTAAATGTGAGAGATTCCCCCCACACTCCATCTGTTAATTCAAGGCTTTCTGTTTTGTCTCTATGCATGTATGTCTGGACCAGCTTGTTTGCTGTCCTTTATTTACAAAGCATTTTACCCAAACCCATCTCCTTTGATGTCCACTTCTAAAAATGTTTTACCTTTTCTTCCCCACAGTTAAGTTCAAGTCCTTATTATATTTTTTATAATGCACAAGGTGCTTAATTGGATTGTAGGTCATTTCAGGGCATGCACTATGATTTCTACTTTTAGTGTTCTTAGAACCCAGGACGTTTTCCTTTATAAAGTAGAATAATGGAAGATGGTGGTTATGATGGTGTTGGTGGTAGTGAATGTTCTTTTGTTGGTGATGATGGAAGTGTTAGCGAGGGTGGTGATGGTGATCATAATTATAACCACCATTATCCATCAGGGAGTTCATGGTAGTTGTGGTGGTGATGGTGATGGTGGTATTGGTGGTATTAGTGGTGGCAGTTTTAATGGTGGTGGTGGTTTTAATAATGGTACAGTGGTAGTAGTAGTGATGGTGGTCATGGTGATGGTTGTGGTGATGGTTTTGATAGTGGTGATTCTGATAGTGATGATGGTGGTTGCGGTGATGGTGGTAGGTGGTTTTAATTATGGTAGTGGTGATAGTGATAGTGGTGGTGATGATGGTGGTCATTGTGATGGTGGTAATGGTTTTGATGATGATGGTAGTGATGGTGATGATAGTGACAATGGTAGTGGGGGTAAAGGTGGTGGGTAGTGATGATGGTAGTTTCAGTGATGATGATGGTAGTGGTGATGGTAATTTTGGTGTTATAGCTCGTCTCTATCCATTGACCTTTCTGTGATAGAAAAGAGAATGTGGGTTTATAACCAGAAGACATTTCAAATACAATTCCTGCTGATCAGTTATTTGAATTTTAAAAAAAACAAAAACAAGAGCAAAAAATAAAACAGGCATCACGCAGCACAGTGTTCAGTATTTATCAGCAACTTTCTGCTCCCTGCATTCCTGCTAACCATGACTCATGGACCCACAAACAGAATGAATGGTTTTTTTGACAAGCCACCCTTTCTTAAAATTTCCTCCCACTGGGGATTTGGTATGGAATTCCTTTTCTACCTAAGGTCCTTCATGCCATCTCTTAGTCATTTGCAATCCCTCTTATTTTTCCTTCATTTACAAACCACGTTTATTTAGATTCATTATTATTTTTATATATTTTATTCCATATTTTTCAGGCAATATCCTATTTTGCAACAATGCTTGCTTTCTTCCCCTAAAATCTTTAACTCTTCTGCCCTTTACTCATATTCTGCTGAATTCCCATTTGATAATACTTTTTATGCTTGGAATTTGAATCTCAGTCTCAAATCTCAATTCAGAAACGAATTCCATTTTATCTCAATGCCAAAAATACACAACTCTTCTGCCTTTTACAGGCAAATTTGGTAGATCGTATATGAAGTATTAGTTCAATTGCAACTCTGTAGGTTATTATTATTAGTGGAAAGAGGAGGTATATTATATACTTGTACTACATTAAGAAAATTATGATTTATAAACCTGATTATGATGAAACATTAAATATCTTTAGCTCTGCAATTAACAATATATTTCCATCTTTAATTACAAAATAATGATTTACCCTCATCATTCCTGCAAAAATACTGATTAACAACTATATACTTTACAGGGGAATAAAGACAGCTACTGAAATTACTAGAAATGATGTCATTTCATATCTAGTTAAAAGAAACTGTTCAAGGCTATAAAACATTGATGAAAAGAGAATCAAGATGTAAGAAGGATAAAATGGAGAATGCACAATACTTTCTTTTAAAGTTCTGAGCAAATGATTCCATGGACAGTGGGATTTAATGTGAGAAATTTCGCACACAATTCCTGAGCTGTGATTTTGAAATTTTAAGAAGCATTTTTCTTTTGCTTATTTCTGAAGATATTTCTACTTAACTAAAGTACCTCTCTTATTTTATGCCTAAATTACTAATATCTTACTGGAGAGAATAATTCCATATCTATCCCACCTCTCTAATAAAGACTACATTATTTTAGGTCATATCTATAAATGAGTGATCATTTTGGGCAAGAAGCTGGACCATATGCAGTAATACTCAGGGGATATGCATTGCTTGGGGACTACATTCAGGATTTGAACTGGGGCTATGAATGCTGTAATCCCTGTAGTCACAAGCAAAGCAAGTATCTTAACTCCTGGTCTAGCTCTCCAGTTCTTCATTTGAAAAACAAATTCATGTAATTTTCCTCCACCCAGATCTCCCATTTCCCAGTAGCTTGGCAGTCACACCACAAGTTGCGTCCGGTGTTGTGTAATCCCATAGAGACTATAGTCTATATATAGTCTAGCCCACTGATGTACCTAAAACAGCACACATGTTTGATTTTAACATAGGTAAAAGGTAAAGGCCCTCCCGTTGATCGTCGATTTGCTCGAGCGGGCTCCAGTAACGTCTCCATTGGAGACTTTGTTGTTACTGTGTCTGGCATATCGAATACTCTCAGTAGCTTGCCGGGCTCTCCGAGAGGGGCGGAGGAATCGAACTCGGATCAGCCATGTTGGCTGCTTGTAAGGCGAACGCCCTACCGCTGATTTTAACATACTTGCTTGTATTCTCTTCTATACATTCTCCGTCCCTCTCGGAGAGCCTGACAGGTTAACAAGAGAATCCCACCCGCACAGCAGAGCCTGGCAAGCTCTCTATGGCGTATTTGATATGCCAAAAACAGTAACAATAAAGGGTCTCATTCTCCTGACCCTGAAAGAGCCTTCAATACAGCACCGTTGGGAAGGATGAGTAAGTAGAGGCTGCTAATATCTCAGGGCTGGGACGAATGGAGACATTACTGGTGCCTGAGCAAACCTATGGACAACGAGATGACAGTGATACAGTGATACAGTAAATATCTTTGAAAGCTCTATAAAGAATGCAACCATTTCTCAAAAATATTTTCTGGATACCTCTTTTGAATCCCTTTCTCTTAAGTCACACTGGCTATCCAGTGAACTTTCAATGTATATATCCACATATATAATTGTATGTGAGCACATGTATGTGGCGTTACATGGCTGATTCAATCTAACGTCAAATTACATTTGACTGTATTGAAACATCAAATTCAGATAAAAGAAAAAACTGTCACAAAGTTTTTTATTGGAAAGCAACATCCCCCAAATTATTATGAAAAAAATGTGACAGGTTAGCTTAAGGATAAAGTCTCCAAATTCCTTAAGACAGGTAATTCTAGAAGTAGGATAAGCCCCAGAATTTGAGTAATAGAATGGGTGACATTAATTTTTTCAAAATAATTTGGGGAATTAAAAAATTTTTTATTATTTTTTTTTTGGAGCCACACCAGACATTGCTCAGGGTTGCCGGCAGGGCTGGGGATTGAACCAGGGCTATCGTGTGCAGGGCAAGTTCCCTACCCACTGTACTATCACTTTGACCAGGGAATTTTTTTTAATCAGTGACATTATATTTATATTTGTACTTCAGAGGATTGGGTTTCATCTAGTAATAAGCTATCCTTTCAAACTGCAAAATGGTTTTAAAATGAGAAGTGAATTTTTAATTTTCCAAAATAGATTATTAGAGGGACAAGGGATAAAAATTTTCTGCTCCCAACCTAAGCACCCAAAGCATGTGTCAGAAGGGCAAGTTCTGGAAATGTTATGTTTTGTTGAATGCTGGTGATATCCCAGAACCCCCAAGCAATTCTAAAGTTTCCATGCTTCCCTGAATGAAACTCTACGTTCTTAAACAAATATTGGTTGCATTTGATGGTTTGTTTTCTACAATGTGAGTCCTATAATACGAGCTTTTCAGTAATTGTGAATTTCATTTTTGGTTATATTGGGGATACATGAAGTTCACAATGCTGCTTGTGTGGTTTAAGATTGCTTTAATTTTTGCATTTTACATTCCTTTTGACATTTTGAAGAAGGGGTCTTTGTCTTGTACGTCTGTTGTTTGGGGAAAGCGGTAAGCCTTCCCCTCTGTCTCTCTCTCTCTCTCTTTCTCTCTCTCTTTCTCTATCTCTTCTAATATGTTTGGCTTTATGAAATGCACGGACGATTCTCCCGGGAATCCTGGCTCATTAAACAAAGAGGGTGAGATGTTGCCTTTTACAAGCTGTACATCCTAACCCTTCTTACAGGCTGGTATCCCCGGCTTCAGATTTAGGCTGAGTGGCCACCGCTGTCACAGGCTCCGGTGGCCCCTCCCGGTAGAAAAGTACCACTGGGTTTTTGCGAGCCCACAGGGCCACGTCCCCTCCCGCCCCGCCGCCCCCGTTGGAAGTGGGTACCCTGCTGCAAGCCCCCAGCCGGTTGGCATAGCGGTTTCTAAGGCGATTGCGGCTTCTGGCTGGTGGCCCGGCGCCCCGGGTGGGCAGGAAGGCGTCCACATTTCGAGTCCGGTAGCCCTCCTCCCGGCCGCGCCTTAGCAGCACGGAAATGTTGGGGTTGCGGATGACATAGATGACAGGGTTGATGGCCCCATTGGCCCAGGTCAGCCAGACCGCCCCCACGTAGAGGAGCGAGGGGGGCTGCGTGGAGGGAGCGCGGCGGGCGGCGGCCAGCAACACCAAGAGACAGTAGGGCCCCCAGCAGCCGATGACGAAGACAATCAGGAGCATCACGGTGGTGGCGGTGCGCACCTCGCCGAAGAAGCGCAGCACGCGCGCGTAGGTGGGCACGGGCCGCACGCGCACGGTCGCCAGGCGCACGGTCCGGGCGATGCGGTAGTGGCAGAAGCACATGAGCAGGAACGGCAGCAGGTAGCAGGCCACCACCAGCGCCACGCTGTAGGCGGCGCCCAGCTGCGCGGGGTCCGGGGAGGTCCGGTACAGGCAGCCGTGGAAGCTCTGCGCCGCCGGCGGCTCGCGGGGCGCGCGCAGCCGCTCCCAGGGCAGCGAGAAGCCCAGCGCCGCCAGCCAGGCGCCCGCCAGCAGCTGCAGCGCGCGGCGGCGGCCCAGCTTGTCCCGCGGCGGCCGCACGATGGCGCAGTAGCGGTCTAGCGCGATGAGCGCCACGCTGAGCGTGGACACGATGCCGAAGCACGAGCTGCAGAAGCGGCAGGCGGCGCAGAAGCCGCGCCAGGGCCCCGCGGGGGCGGCGGCGGCGGCGGCGGGGGCTGCCGCCGAGCCCCCGGGGCGCGTGAAGAGGTCCAGGAAGGCGGCGGGCAAGCAGAGCAGCGCCGTGAGCAGATCCGACAGGGAGAGGGACAAGATGAAGGCGTTGGTGACGGTGCGGAGCTGCCGGTGCTTCACGATCACCCCCAGCACCGCGCCGTTGCCCACACTAGACAGCAGGAAGATGAGGAGGAGGAACAGCGCCTGGGCCGCCACCGCCGCCCCGTGCGACAGCAGCGGCGCCGCCCCGGGGCCTGGCGGTGGCCTCTCCGCCGCCGCCGCCGCCGGTGTCCCGGGCCTGCCACCAGGCGAGGCGCCAGCGCTGTCGCCCCCAGTCCCCGCGCTCTGGTTCCCCAGCACCGCGGCCGCTGCGGAGGCCACGGAGCTGAAGGAGAGCGCGGCCGCCGTCGCGGTGGAGGAGGAGGAAGTCCCGCCAGGAGAGGCGGCCGCGGAGGGGCCGCCGGGGTGCGGGATGCCCGGCCAGGCCATGCTCACGGGCGGGCGCGGCGGCGGCGGCGGCGGCGGCGGCGGCTTCTCCATGGGGCCCGGCGGCCGCCGCGGGTCCGTACATCCCGCACAGAGGGACGGGGCCCGGCGAGAGGCCGCGGCTGGACTGGGGCTCGCCAGCCACGGCGGCTGTCGGCGGAGCCCCGCGATGCTTTTGACGTGGCTTCCAGGCGTTGCCCTGGGAAACGCGTGTTTACGCAGCGCGCGGGGCGGGAGGCGGGCCCGGTGCCCTCCGAGAAAGGGCGGCGCGCCGCGGCGGGTCTCTGCTGGACCTCGGGGCTCCCCGGTCGGCCTCCTGGGACCTCTGTCGGCCCTAGGGACAGAACTGGCTCGCAGAGATGAGCCATTTCATCAGGGGTTCACTGCAGCCTTTCGGGTTGGATACTGGGAGGGTTTGGGGGTCCGGAGGCGGAGCAAAGACTGCTTCCTTAGGGTGTTCTGATGTGTGCAGGTGGGAGTGGAATTTAGAAAGGTGCAAACAACCCAAAGCCGGAATTCAAGGGCACCATCATTGAACCCAGGCGCTCTCAGACTTGAGCTTGCAACAGAATCCCCTCGTGAGCTTTTAAAACCTCAGGAGACTGGGTAGAACCCAGAGTTGCAGAAGTCGTGGGTACGGGCATCCTGGTGCCTGCAGGAGGCAGCATGGCCCTCGGGATAGAAACTCCCCAAGCGGTGCTCTGGGAAGCCAGAGTACAGAGGGTAGCCTCTGTTCAAAGGCCTGGAAGTCAGGGCCGTAACAGCTCACATGTGTATTTAGGGGTGAGAGGGGAAGACCCAGTCCTTTGCTCAACTGGCCAACGTCCTCAGCTGTCCGAGAAGGGGTGTGTGTGTTTGTGTGTGTGTTGGATTGGGTTGGGTTTAAGGGTCACACATACAAATGCTCAGTTCTGACTGTGCTTTGTGCTCAGATACCACTCAAGACCGGCTCAGCAGGACCATATGAGATTTGGAGGATCAAACCTAAAAGGGCCAAGGAGAAGGCAAGCATCCTACCTGCTGTCAGAATGTGTATGTTTTGAGATTAAACTCTACCAATGCATAAGAAAGAAGGATCTGGATGCCTCCGAAAGCTACACCTTAAATTTAGGGGGATGATATGTAAGACTAGTAAGGGGGAGGGGGAGGTTGTGCGCGAGAAACTCACATTTTCTAAAGCCTTGAACCGGGGGTTACAGCCATCTCATAACTGAATGTTGTGGGGATCATAAAAATGTTTTTATGATAAGCTTATGATTTATTCTCAGGAAATGATTGGTTTCTTTTTAGAAACTAAATCCATTTCATATACCTAGGGTTGCATAAAAATTTCTCAGTCAAAAAGGATCATGAGTGGGAAAAGTTTAGGAAGCCCTGCTCTACAGCGATCCTTCGCAAAATAGGGACCTTGAACAGGCCACAAACCCTTAGGTGCTTTTAAGAAATGCAAGTTCTCAGACTCCCAAACTGAATGTGAAATCAGGGATGGGACCCAGCCACATGCACTCCAGAAGATTCTGAAACACAGTCACGTTTGAAAAACAAAGGACATCTAATAAGTTTAAGATTTACAGGTCTTGGAATAAATGGTATTAGTGTTTTGGGGTGCTGATTTTAGTGAGAAAAAATGTCCTGGAAATTTACAGAGTAAGTAAAAGTTCTTTTAAGGTGCTAAAAGGAAACTCCATTTCTCAGCCTAGCTGTTACTGACATTTTGAGTCAGGTCATTCTTCCACGTGGGGCTACTCTATGCATTGTAGGATGTTTACAGTAGTCATAGTCTTTAGTCACAAGACAAATGCCAATAGTGACAACTAAAACTATTCTTCAGACACCACCAGATGGCCATTGGGTTGGAGGACAATCCCAGTTGAAATCCACTGAACCAAACAACAAACATGTATTTAACAAATCTCTGTGCAAGATTTTCAAAAATAATACATAAGGATCCAAGCACTAAAGAAGGTCTCAGGTAACACAAATGTGTTACAATAGCATCTGTATTGTTTAAGGATATCAGAGTGCAGTGGGTAGGGTGTTTGCCTTGCACATGGCTGGTCAGGGTTCAATTCCCAGCATCCCATATGGTCCCCCGAATACCACCAGGAGTAATTCCTGAGTGAAGAGCCAGGAGTAACCCCTGTGCATCGCCAGATGTGATGCAAAAAAAGAAGAAAGAAAGAAAGAAAGAAAGAAAGAAAGAAAGAAAGAAAGAGAAAGAAAGAAAGAAAAGAAAAGAATATCAGAGTGAAAATTGATGGCTCTGACTTCCTAGGGTAGCTGATTGAGACCACTCAGTGTGATACTAGACTCTCCAGGAAAAGAAAAAAGGGACATTTGTGCAAAATATGAAGGTTGATGTTTAAGTTCTTGACTTGGGTACTGGTGAAAGAAAAGTTTCCCCTAGAATACATGAGAGCAGGGAATGAAGAGGAAATACGTGACTTTTTTTCAAGGTTTTTGTTGTTGAAAAACAAATTCATGCTCTGTTGAGTGAGCTTCAACAACAGCAAGGAATTTACTAGAAGGAGGGATGATTGGGTGAAGGCATCAGCCACAAGTGAAGTTTAAACAAAGGGGCATGTTTAGTAGATATAGTTTAGACAGACTAGAGTGACTTCATATGCTCCTGGATTTCCCACTTCCTTGTTTGCCTGATTGTCCTCTGAGTTCTTCCATCTGACTTTCTGTTCAGTTTTGTTATTTCTGTGATTATAGTGGTGCTCATGGGCTACACATGCTGGTGATAATACTCAGGCTTCCCACAAGCAAGGCTAATGCTCTACCACTTGTGTCACATCCCTGCTTGCGCGCACACACACACACACACACACACACACACACACACACACCATCTGCTGGAGTCCATCAAGGCCTAGTCTCTTAGGGCTTCAAGAATTAAAGCTCTGATCCCAACCCTCTTATCTTTCTATGTAGCATCTTCCCTTGCTGTGAAAAGCACCTCAAACTCAACCATTTTCTCTTTGCCTTTTTATATAGCTACCTGGCGCTTACCACCCTAGAAAACTGCTAGATACACAAATAAGTACTTTTGAATGACATAGGAGAATCTGGAAACTGGATGAGAAGTTAAGAAAGGGCACTTTAATAACTAGTGGCAGAAATAAGAGTGTGAATAAAGGCATTATAGGGAAGAAGGAGAGGAGAGCTTAAGGAGGTAACATATATAATAACATCTCTGGATAAAAGCGGTAAGAACAGTGAGGGCCCTGTCTCAAAAAAAAAAAAAAAAGGAATTTACTAGAAGGACTGGGGAGTTCAGATTACAAAAGGGAAGTCTTAACAACCAGTTTCAAGAATGAAAAATCAGTTAGAAAAAACTAACCCAGGGTGATCTCCTGTGGGCACTACCATAATGAGTCAGTTTCTGTCTTTTTTTTTTTTCAGACTTAAATAGGTCCTGGAGGAGAGTCGGATTGGTATGTTCTTGTGTTAACAGCCCAGCCAGGTTGCATGCAGACTGTATGCAGGGCTTGGGCAGTTTGCCAAAGGAAAAGAATATTATGTACAAAAGGAGGAAGGAACAAATGGCCAGACCCACAGACAGGATAATCAGCAGACAGGGCATGAATAATGAGAAAAGGAGACACCCCAATTTCCTACCTGCCTGACTGTCTGATAGAGCCACTAACCAATTAAGTTAGGGCATCTGGGAGGTGGGGCTCATTTCTAGGTGAAAGAAAGCTTGGTTTGTCTTCTATGTAGTGATTCCAGCATGGCTTTGGACCTCGGGATTTAGAAATCTGGAAATTGCCAGCCTCTACAAGTGAGAAAACCATGCACATATGTGTGAGGATAGAGCATTGAGTGATAAGAGTAAAAGAACGATGGAGAAAAGTAGAGGGGGCTAAATATTCAGTGGGTGATGGGAGAATGGGCAGAGGAGTGAGAGTGTGATGCACATTGGGCAGCTAGGAAAGAAGCTGTCTGTATTTGACATTTCCTTTTGTTGGACTTCACAGAAAAGAAACTTGTTCTTTTGGGCTAGAGTGATGTGTACAGAGGGTAGAGCGTTTGCCTTGCACATGGCCAACTGGGGTTCGATCCCTAGCATCCCATATAGTTCCCCGAGCACCACCAGGAGTAACCCCTGTGCATTGCCAGGTGTGACCTCAAAAGCCAAAAAAGAAAGAAAAAGTTGTTCTCTGGAAAGTTGCTGTGATTTTGTGTTAGTGCTATCCTTTACCTCTATTTGAGAAGCTATGTGGCTTCTTAGATGGTTTAGAGTTAAAAAGAGGTATTTCCGAATTTGAGGGGGCGGTGCGGGGGAGGTGGTGGGATTCTTTTTTTTTTCCCCTTTATTTTATTTTTTTTTTTACAGTTGTAGATTTACAATTTTTTGTGCTTGGGTTTCAATTATACAATGATCAGATACCCATCCCTCCACCAGTGCCCATTTTCCACCACCATGGATAATATCCCTCCCACCCCCATCCCCCATCCCCCCCCTGTCTCTGTGGCAGGGCAATCCCCTGTGTTCTCTCTCTCCTTTTGGGTGTTGTGGTCTGCAAAAGAGGCATTGAGTGGCAAACTTGTTCAGTCCATAGTCTACTTTCGACATGCATCTCCCCTCCTGGGAGGATCCTCCAAACATCCTTTATTTGGTGCTCCCTTCTCTATCTGAACTGCCCTTTCCTCTAGGATACCCAGCTGGCCTCTAAGTTATGGAGTAATCCTCCTGGTGCTGATCTCAGCTATTCTTGGGTATTAATCTCATAATTTGTTACTTTATATTCCCCAGATGAATGCAATCTTTCTATGTCTATCCCTCTCTTTCTGACTCATTTTGCTTAACATGATACTTTCCATATTGTACCACTTGTATGTAAATTTCATGACTTCATCTTTTCTAACAGCTACATAGTACTCCATTGTGTAGATGTACCAAAGTTTCTTTAACCAGTCATCTGTTTGTGGGCATTCAGGTTTCTTCCAGGTTCTGGCTATTGTAAAGAGTGCTGCAATGAACAAACAAGTGCAGATGTCACTTCGACTATACATTTTTGCCTCTCTGGGATATATTCCCAGGAGTGGTATTGCTGGGTCAAATGGGAGCTCAATTTCTAATTTTTTGAGAATCGTCCATACTGTTTTCCAGAAGGGCTGAACCAGTCGACATTTGGGGGTGGGATTCTTAAAGCCCAGTCCCACCTGGGTAATTTAAAAGGTGGATTAAGGAGGTTTGCAACTCCGGCCAGGGATGTGGCTCAGAAATAGTGTGTCCGGGCCGGAGCAGTAGCCCAGCGGGTAGGGCGTTTGCCTTGCATGCGGCCGACTTGGGTTCGATCCCCGGCATCCCATATGGTCCCCCAAGCACCGCCAGGAGTAATTCCTGAGTGCAGAGCCAGGAATAACCTCTGAGCATCGCTTGGTGTGACCCAAGAAGCAAAATAAAATAAAAAAAAAAAAATAAAAGGAGCTGTGTATATAAAAAAAAAAAAAAGAAATAGTGTGTCCATCCTATATGTGTTAGGCTCTGGGCTTGGTCCCTGGCAATAAAAACAAAAGACTCAGATAGTCAAGGGGCTGAGCTCATGCTCATGTATGCAGGAGCCCTGTGTTTCACCCCAACACTGCATGGTCCCTTGAGCACTAAGAGATAGGAGTAGCCCCAAGGGAAGGAAAATAGGGGTGACTACAAGCTAAAGAAGGTAGGCAGCAAGAGGTGTTTGTTCCATTTTTTTCGAGCGCATTTACATACTTAAAACAAGGAGCCAGTGAGACCAAGGGCTGTTGCTTCAATGTGGTTAATTGATGAGATAAGACATGTCAATTGACTTCTCAATGTAAAAATACTTTCACATACTCTGCTGGTAATGATTGCTTTAAAAAGAAAGTTCTTCAGAGTTGTGTAAATCACTTGAGAAGGAATCCATCCCTCAGTGGGTCGGTGTCTTCCACTGTAAAACTTGCTGTACCTGTGTAATGAGCTTGCCCCGATACTTCGACTATAACAGCTTTAAAATCACCACATTTTGCCTCCTAAAAAAAGTAAGAAGTGTGATATCAGATTCTGCGTTAATATTTTATTTTTCTTAAAAGTCAAATTCTTTGTTTTCATTATTTTAAAGAAATCCAGGGGTTGGTCCTAAAGGTACTGAAAGGAGAGAAACCTAATCATATTTGTGTTTTAAAAGGTTTTTGTTTTTCTTTTGGCTTTGGGGCAGCACCTGGTGATACTCAAGGGTTACTCCTGGCTCTGCACTCCAGAATTACTCCTGGAAGTGCTCTGGAGGGGGCAAAATGGGATGCCAAGGATTGAACCTGGGTTGGCCAAATGCAAGGCAAATATCCTACCCACTGTACTATCTCTCTGACCCAAGGGAACAAAGTGTAGACCCTCACATGTTTTAAAAATTTGCTGTGAGGGATAAATTTGTAGAAAAGAGATTCTATGCTCAGAAAATTACTAGGATAAAATTAATTCATGGATTGAATCTAAAGTTAGTTACGGTATTTTTTTTTTTAGTTAGGGTATTTTAAATGAGGATGGAGAATAACAAAATGTATAGAAAGACTTGGAGTAGAATTGCACGTTTGGTGACTGTTTATGTGGAGGATAGCAAAAAATAAGCATGGTTATAGTTTTTAGCCTGGAATTGAAGCTGGTGTTACCACTAACATCAAGAAGGGGAATGAAGGAGGAGTGAGTGAAAGAAGAAATGAAGAAATGGAGGAAATGAGGGAAGGGAAGAAAGGAAAGGCAGGGGGAGGGAGGGAGGGTAGGAGGGAGGGAGGAAGGAAGGAAGGAAGGAAGGAAGGAAGGAAGGAAGGAAGGAAGGAAGGAAGGTCAGCCTTCATATGCCATGGCTAAGGACCAAGACTACTGAAATACTCTAAATAATACAGTTTTAGCTAGATAGATTGCAAATTTCTTAAAGTCTGGTTTACAGAAGATAACTAAATTCTCATATCTGCTTCTGTATTCAATCATGCGGTCTATAATATCATAAAACCTCTGGAGAAGTCCATGTACACTCATGATAGAGTGTAAGTGAATGCCAACAATATTTTAGTTATATTATGAATATAGTTTTGACTTGTTGATTCATGGAAAGGAGATCCCAGAAGTCCCAGAATCACACTTTAACACCAAGCCCGGCAAGCTACCGAGAGTATCTCGCCCGCACGGCAAAGCCTGGCAAGCTCCCTGTGACGTATTCAATATGCCAAACACAGTAACAACAAGTCTCACGATGGAGATGTTACTGGGCCCGCTTGAGCAAATCGACGAAGAATGGGAGGACCGTGACCGTGACCATACTGGTTGAAAATAGATTGTTACACAGACCTGCTTTAAAATTCTCTTCCAGGATCAAAGTGAAGAAACTTCTCTAAAACTCAACCTTTTTTGTTTTGTTTTGTTTGGGGACCACACCCAACAGTTCTCAGGATTTACTCATGTCTCTTTGCTCAAGGTCACTCCTGGCAGGCTCAGGGGACTATATGGGATGTTGGCTGTGTACAAGCATCCTACCTGCTGTCTATTGCTCCGTTCCCTCAACTGGGACCTCTTGGGTATTAAAAATAACCTATAGAAATAAGAAACGAAGAGAGTCACTCACCCTCACAGCCTTCCCTGTGAATACGGAGCCAGTTGCACTGCTTTTAAAGGCTCTCATCTGGTTTAGTTTTACAAGTCCTTTGTGATATTGTAAAGCAATTCGGGCTGTCACACCCGAGCCGGTCGGACTTCTGTCAACCTATTTCAGGATAAATGAAGTTAGGAGTATTTAGTAATCTAGTTCCATATTCCCTGGTTCTTTGTTAAACATTATAGTTGCAATACCTGTTCATCTGCAAACACACAGATATTGGTGGTTGGTTCCTCACTAAAAGCATCTTTTCCATCTGTCAATATTGTTCCATATAAAAAAGCAAGGTCTTCACTATCAGGATGATTGATTTTAACCTGTAAATTATAAAAAACAACATGTAAATATTTTTCTTCAAGTTTATAACACATGTAAGTGGGATTCTTTTGTAACAACTTTTCCATTATCATTGTTAATATTGGGTCAAGGCAAAGATACTAAAATTGATGTCTTTGACTAGATGACTAAATATCGTTTTATTGGATGTTATGATTCTTATTACATTTTTATTTATTTCTGAAGAAGCTGTCCTGTATATGGCCTCAACTAAAGAAACATACCTACTTTATACACAGAACCACTCCAACGCATTCTCTATGAAGCACTGAGTCTGGAATGAATGATCCACAGATTGGCCACAGCTGCTCAGAGGCACCAAGGAAGAATATAGGTTCACTTTAGGAGCTTGAAGGGGATAATGTGGAAATTAATACTATGAATTGTGAGATGGTTTATACCATTGAGAGATATAGGGATTTAGAAGAGGGCCAGAGCAATAAAAGTTTTTAAGAAACAATTAGATAAAAAAAAACAATTAGATAATAAAAAAGGATTGTGATAGCACAGTGGTAGGGCGTTTGCCTTGCACGCAGCCAACATGGCCGACCAGAGTTCGATTCCTCCGCCCCTCTCGGAGAGCCCCGGCAAGCTACCGACGAGAGTATCTCGCCCACACAGCAGAGCCTGGCAAGCCGCCCGTGATGTATTCGATATGCCAAACACAGTAACAACAAAATCTCCAATGGAGATGTTACTGGGCTCGCTCGAGCAAATCGATGAACAACGGGAGGGCCTTTACCTTTACCTTTACCTTTACCTTTACCTATAATATAAAGTTGGTTGGTGTCATGAAAAACAGCAGATACACAGAAAGGGAAGAAAAATATGCCCTGATAAATCTGATCAATGTAGAGCATGGTCAGGCCCAAATGTGCAATGCTGCCTCTTTTCTGAATAATTATGATTTTTCCCGGATGTCTGTGCTTTCTGAGAATATGACCAAGGTAACTATAATCTTACTTACTCATGTAAATTTAGTAGATTCCATTACTACTTACCTGTCTTTTAAAGCAATTAAATAGATTAAGGTTCTAAGTGCTTGAAGCAAATCTAAAGAGACCTCCTACGATCTATGGTCTTAAAGACCATGATCCACCTCAACAATAGCTTGATTACAAACTAACATGGCCCACGGGATTGCTTCCCTGCACCTCCATACCTAATTCCTTGAAGGTGAAGTTTGTTCCTCTCCTCCACCCCCAATTCTAGAATCTAGCTTAGTGGCTGTTTGGTTTATGTTTGTTTTTTTTGTTTTTTAACGAATGAAGGTAGAACAATTTCAGCTGCCCTTCTTATCCCCTTGATCTTCCTGCAAATCTTCATTTTTGTCAGTGGTCAGCAATTTACAAAGTAGTTCAAACAACTTATCAACCGAAGAATTTTCCCACATATTTTCCTCAAAAAACATTCCTCCCTCAAAGTCTACTACTTGCCACCATAGCATAAAGATCAAACATTAGTGAAAAGTTTAAAATTACTCCTTCATTAAATAAAAAAAAATTTCTTTCCTCTTGATTTCATTTAAACATAATGTAAAAACATTTTATGCTAATTTAGTAGTACTGTGGGCTAGAGTGGTAGCACAGCGGTAGGTCGTTTGCCTTGCCGCCGGCTGAGCCGGGTTCGATTCCTCTGCCCTTCTTGGAGAACCCAGCAAGCTACCTGAGTATCTCACCCTCATGGCAAAGCCTGGCAAGCTACTCGTGACATATTCAATGTGCCAAACACAGTAACAAGTCTCAAAATGGAGAGGTTACTGGGCCCACTCGAGCAAATTGATGAACAACGGAGGACAGTGACAGTGACAGTGACAGTAGCACTGTAGCACTGTCCTCTCATTGTTCATCGATTTGCTCGAGAGGGCACCAGTAATGTCTCTATTGTGAGACTTGTTACTGTTGTTGGCATATCGAATACGCCACAGGGAGCTTGCCAGGCTCTCCCTTGCAGGCGTGACACTCTTTGAGCTTGCTGGGCTCTCTGAGAGGGATGGAGATATCGAACACAGGTCAGCCACATGCAAGGCAAACACCCTACCCGCTGTGCTATCGCTCCAGCCCCTATTAGTGGTCTTAGTGGAGTAAAAGCGTATGTAAATTCAGAGCTTCAGAAGTTTCTATGATAATTTAATTTTTTATAATATTGATAATTATGAAAATTATGATTTAGAAAAGGCATATAGAATATATTGTAAATAATGCTAAAATTTCAGACATTAAGGTAAATTTAGGTAGGAGTCAGAGAGATAGTACAGTGGGCAGGGCACTAGCCTTTTGCACAGTCAACGTGGATTCACTCCCCAGTACTCTATGCTCCCTTGAGCCCTGTTCAGAGTGATCCCTTGGTGTAGAGCTAGGAGTAAGTACTGAACACTGCCTAGTGTGGCCCCAAAACAAAATTAAATACATATATGTTCTGTAAAGACCTGTAACTTGTATTCCCTCTGCACCACAAGGGCGGGCATTTGTTAATATAGCAGCTACTATACCAACCTGAGCTTTCACCGCTTCTGTCACCGCACTGGCTGCATCCACAAGGTCCCTGGTCTTTGCGGAACAAACATCGAGTCCTAGCTTCTCAGCACTAATAAATGCATAAAATGCACCCCCATAAGCAATGTCCACTACCACCTTCCCATAGCCAGGAACATCCACTGGGAGATCTAAAAGAGATGTGTTTGAAAAGAAGTTTGTTTTTAGCACAGCAGCAACACAATTTTAATGTCTTTCTTTGTGGGGGGAGGGGTGGCAGGAGCGACATCTTCGTGTCCTGATCGATAGAGAGATTTCTTCTAGATTGAGACCTTTAGATTGAGACAAGAGGCTGAAATTCTTGCCTCTGTTGAGACGTGTGAAACCCACTTACCTCCACAGAGAGGAGGCTACAAGGGTGACAGAAGCAACAATGAGGAGGGCAGTGTGAGGCTAGGGCAAAGGGCTTACAAACTGCGTAGATGATGATGTGCTGTTTTACTGTGCAGGTTGAGGGTCAGAGGCCCTCCTCATCAAGGCCTTGGAACTTTGAATTGACCTGCTACCACAAATGCATCAGAAAAGAGAACTGTAGGCTGGAGAGATAGTATAGAAGGTAAGGTGCTTGTCTTGCATGTAGCCAACTTTGATTGGTCCACCAAGCACTGCCAGGAGTGATCTCTGAGCACAGAGCCAGGAGTAAGCCTTGAGTACCACCGACATAGCCTCCAAAACAGAATAAGAAATAACTGCATGAGGAGAGATAAGGCTACATCATGCAACACGAAGAATAGGATTAAAAATTCAGAAATTGTGCAAAATAAAGGATTTTTGGTATCTGCATTGACACAGCCTTACAAAGGTACCAGAGTGCAGTTTATAGGCTATCCTATAGGGCCTTTAGCACTATACCTTAGAACAGCAACTTTAACATGAGTGAAAATTCTGGGGTCAAAATGATAGTACAAGAAGTATGGTTGCTTGCCTTGCACACAGCTGACCTAGGTTCAATCCTTGAAACCCCTATGGTTTGCTGAGCACTGCAAGGCATGATCCCTGAGTACAGAGACAGAAGTAAGCTCAGAGCGCACCTCCGAGTGCTGCCTGAATTCCACCCCCACCTCACTCTCAAAAAGGAAAATGCTTGTGTAACCAAAAAAAAAAAAACCTGTAAATGTATCTTGTTGGTGCAACAGGAAAAGAGGAAGAGGAATATGAAGGACTGAGAGCTGGATTGTGGAAAGCTTAGTGTGGCTCTGATGTCCCCCCCATGTTAAATGGAATAGGCACCCCACCCCCTGATTGTTTTGAGGTATCCAGGTGATAATGTAGAGGGACTGCAATGAATACACTTAAAGTCAAAGTTCCCCCCCACCCCCCCAGTGGGAATAGAGGTTTTAAGAGGACAAAATACTCACATTTGCTGTTACTGTCCCCACACAACATAGTCTCCTAACTTCAATGATTATTCAGTGAATACCGCCTACTGTCTTAGCACTTGAATGCAACAAACAAAGCAGAGATGTCACCTTTGCAGAATGGAGTGGGGAGATAAACTTAGCAGTCCTGAGGTGGGTATTGTCACCCTCGTTTAACATATGTTGACACTGAGGGGTCATAGGATGGGGCAATGTGTATCTTACACTATCTTACCTTTCATACTTTTTCAAGGTAAAGAATTTCGTCTGTTTCCTTAATGCACCTGGTTAGTGTTCAGCCACACCATGATACTCTGAGAAGCTACCACTACGGCTGTATTTGCACCATCGGCAGCCCCTATCTTAGCCAGCCCCCAACTCCCATATAGTTGTTTGTGCTCCAGCAGCCAACTGTCCTGGTCCAGCCCTGTGGAGTGGTTCCAGCCCATGCTAGTTAAACCAGAGAGATTTTTTTCTCAGCTGCAGTCCTAGACATAAACTGTTTCTGTTAAGTGCCCTTCCAATGCAGATGGGACCCTACTTTCTACTAAGGGGTAAGGTAGTATCACATTTTCAGTTTTCCAGTACGTTTCAGTCACCTAAGGTTGCTCTAAGATGCACCTTGGTCATGCTCTGTCATTCATTATGAGGGAAATCTGGAATCCATATCCTCAAGGATGGAGATCAAGCCAACAGTGATGTGAGTGGTTTTAAGATGAAGAAATGAACTGATAACACAAAGTGAAGTAACTAAACTTTGGTTCCCTTTCAACCAGGCCTAGGAAAACCGCCTTACTGATACAACAGCTGAGGGCTCCTTTGGGAAGATTATAGATCAAAGTGACCTGTTTAACATGGTTTACAGGCTCGGGACTAAGAAACACCATCAAAACCTTTGACAGGCTTCACATGCCTGGAGGATATCCTGCAGACTTCCAGATGGTAGGAACTACTTTTAAAACTAAATGAATTCTTGGGACTGGAAAGATAGTACAATGGGAAGGACACTTCCCTTGTACCTGGATGACCTGGGTTCTATCCCCTGCACCCTATATATTCCCCTGGGCTCTGCCAGCAGTATTCCTTGACCAGAGTCAGGTGTAAGCCCTGAGCACAGCTGGGTGTGGCCCCCAAATAAACAATAAAACAAAAAATCTAACTACTCTGTATACTATGAATTCTCACAAAAATTCAGCAGTAAGAAATGAAACAGGGAGAGGGCTAAGAAGTGAATTTACTGAGGTTGCACAGATTCAGGTATTGTGGAAATTTGAAACCACAGTGTTGCTGTTCTTAAAGATTAAGAGTAAACATGCCTTTATCTTCATAATTTACAAATATAGTCCATGTTTAACCCACCCTCAAAAAGTGGGAAAGCATTGTACAGATGAGGAAAAAGTAGGCCGCATTAAGTGACTTGGAGTAATGTTTAGCAAGCATACTCTGAGCTGGCCAAAACGCTCTGGAATGGTAGTTGTTCTTTGCACTTTCTTGAACCAGAACGAACCTTGATCTCTCCAGCTTGGAAAACTTGAGCAATGTCTGGCAAGTAGAGAACCGGGTGGCTCTGGGTAAAAGAAATTACCCCATAGGATTGATTCTCTTAGAATCGTTGATTTCTACTCGGTAACGGAATTGCATGCATCACACAAATTCGCCAAGCTGATATGCTGACATATTAGCAGTGACATCAAAACGACCGCTCTGATTAATGGCAAAGGCTTGTGAATGGGTTAGTTGCATTGCCTGGTTTCCAGCGTGGAGACGTGGTTAGCGGAGTTAGTCGTGTCCTGGGCCTGAGTTCAGTTAAGCTGTGACCCTGCCCAGCACCGGAAGCATCCCGGCCTTTACCTGTAGCCAGCGCAAAGGCCGGCACACTGTGGAAGCGAACCGGGCCACAGCTGCGGCCGCCTTCACACTCCACGAAGGCGGCCACCAGCCCGCAGGGACAGTGGATATTGACGCGCGTCTCACGAGCGCCAGCCGGGGGCGCCGGCACCAGCCCGAAGTCCAGCGCAAAGCGGCCTAGCGCCAGCACGGCGTGGCCACACATGGAGCTGTAGCCCTCATTGTGCAGAAACAGGACGCCCAGGTGAGCGTCCGGCAGCTCGCTGGGCACCAGCACAGCCCCGTACATGTCCCGGTGCCCCCGAGGCTCGAACATGAGCCGTCGCCGTACGTGGTCAAGGTGCTGGCGCATGTAACGCCGCTTGGCCAGCAGCGTGGGGCCAGCCACCTCGGGACAGCCCGCCAGGACAATGCGCAGGGGCTCGCCGCCCGTATGCATGTCCACCACGGACAACACCGGCGTTCCGGGATGGTGTGGGGGTAGCCGGGGCGCAGCCGGCGCCTTCTCCATTGCCTGCGGCCCGGGGATTCGATCGCTGTCCCGCGGCGCGCGATGCAGGCCCGCCGATCGCCGCCGCTTTCCGCGCGGGACACCCGAAGAGTGGCCGTCTCGGGGGCGGGGGGCGGGGCTTCATCGCTCAGACCCGGAAGAGGGGAGGGGAGGGGCTTCAGGGCGGTCGCCCGGGTTACCAGGAGGCGGAGCCTCCCCCCGGACGCGCCGTGGCCCGGATGTCCGGGCTCCGGGCCCAGGTCCGCTGATCCCGCAGCTTCTCCAAGGAAACCTACAGGCGGCCGATGGGTGAGTGGTCACCCTAGTCCAGGGGAGCGTTGGCTTTCATCTCTTGTTCTGTCCCCCGCTTTGAGCTCAGCCCGGGAGGAGGATTGCGGCGCCGCCTCGCCTCTCGCGGGGTCCCGCGCGCCCTCGGGCGGCGAGCCGCACTGCTGGCCGCGGGCTGGGTGGGCGCAGGACCCCCACGGGGCTGCCCGGGGGTGTGGGTGGGGGGGGGGTCGACCGTGCTACTGGGATAGGTTAGGCCGCACGGTCGTTGTGTTAGAAATGCCAGAGCATTTGTTGTGTTCGGGTCCCTTTTGTTTAGTGTTCTTGAGGGCTGGCTCCCAGATTTAAAGTTGCAGCGTCAGTAAGTGCAGAAAACTGTTAAAAGGAGACAGAAGCTAATTGGGGCAGAATTGTTGTCTCCCGCCTCAATGTCAAATGGAAGTTTAAAGGGCCCCTTCCGAGAAAGCGGCAGATTCATCGCCGGGGAAATAAAAGATCCTCCCCCAACCCCCACAAATCATCATTAACTCAAGGCAAAGAAATGAGAAGCAAATGATCGAATGTTGAGAAGCCGGATCTTGTTTGATCGATAAGTTGTTGGTTAATCATATTAATTTTCACGTTTTCTGAGTTTGGGAAGAAACCTTACCGCAAAGCCCGTATGAAAGAAGTTCCCAGTTCTCTGTTTTTTAATTCATTTTTATTAGCTAAATGTTTAGTAAAATTCATCTAGTAAATTCTCTTGTATAGTAAAACATGAATACAGTTGATTTAAGAAAAAAATGCCGGACCCAAGCGATAGTACAGCTGGTAGGGTGTTTACCTTGCACGCCTCTGACCTGAGGTCCCAGACTCTGCATCCCATAAGGTCCTGAGCACTGCCAGGAGTAATTCCTGAGTGCAGAACCAGTAAGCCCTGAGCAACCGCTGGGTGTGACCCATATCTATCTATCTATCTATCTATCTATAATATATGTATGTATATATATATTTTTAATGTCAAATCAGCTAAAGAATTCCATGAATCTAAACACAGTGAATTGCTAAAACTGAAGCTATAAAATGAGGGATTTAGTGAGTTTCAGCGACACAAAGAGAAAGAAATTGAAAATCTGCTCAGACTTGAAAGGTGTCAAGGGCATTGTGAACCAGGCCACCCAGGTTGTGAAATCTTGAAGATCCTTTCAGGATACTCATAAAATGCAAAACATCCCAAACATTCACTGTAGTTGTTTTGGAATCTTCAGTGGTTCCTAATCAGTGGAATCTGATGCTGAAGGCATATTTATTGAATGAATGAATCAATGAAGAGAATCAATGTCTGTGATGGGAAAGACTCAGTCACCTTTCAAATGTTTGAGGTTTTTTTCTTTGTTTTGTTTTGTTTTTGCTAGGGCACTTGGTTGGACCACACTGGGCGATTCTCGGGGCTTACTCCTGGCTCTTGGAATTGTTCCTAGCAGTGCTCTTAGATATGCCAAGTTCAAACCCCCCATGCCATGTAGGCATGCACTGCAGTCACTACCTCTCCAGTACCATCAGTCACTTTAACGCCAAAGACAGTCTGTAGACATGAGCATTTCTTTGCTTTGTGTATTTAAAGGACAGCTGCCTTTTCATTTCTCCAAGTCTTGAGATCAGAGGTTTGATTGTAAGGTATTGCTTCCCGTGATGGTTTTCAGTAAGCTTTTTGTAAAGGTGTTCCTATTTTCTCTAATGTCATGCTTTTAATTTATTCTGAAGTTGTACTTTCTGTTTTTCTGGCATTAAGGAGTGTGGCAATTTTGTTGTTCGTTTTTTTGGGGGCACAGCTGGTGGTGCTCAGGGCTTAGTCCTGGCTCAGGACTCAGGGATCGCTCCTGGCAGTACTTAGGAAACAGTATGTGGAGCCAGGAATTGAACCTGGGCAGGTGGTATGCAAGGAAATTGCCCTTTTTGCTATCCTAGCTCTCTTGACTAGACTTTTTTTTTGAGGGGGAGGGGCAACATCTAATGGTGCTCAGGGTTTATCCCCAGTTCTGCAGTAACAACTCCTGGGAATGCTCAGGGGACCATTGATGGTGCCTGGGATTGAACCTGGTCAGCTTGTGTACCTGCCAATTGTACTATCTCTCTGGCCCTAAGGTGTGTTTTATTATGAATGAAAACGGTAATAAATGTGCGAGTACACGCGTATGTTAGCTTAATACCCAGAATGGGAAAAAATAAAGGTTAGCTCCTCTATTAGTCCTCTAATTAAAGAAAAGAAAAGAAAAGAAAAAGAAAGCAAGAAGCAAGCAAGCAAGCAAGCAAGCTAGCTAGCTAGACTATTGTTTCCTAAAGTCAATGATACTCTTTCGGGTGGGGAGCATGGAACTATCCTGGGGAGACTGTAGTGGCCTTGAATGTGATTGGGGTCACTTTCTGTTTGTTCCCTTAAAGAAAGTAGGTAGGGGATGGTGGTCACTTTTTTTCCGTTTTGAAGAGTGGGAGGTAAGCCACAGTTTGGGAGCCTCTGCTTTTAAACCATCTAATCCAGGGGAGTGATTGGCTCGAGCCTTTGGAGAAATACTGGCATGGGCATTGAGTTCTGGGAATATATTCTGTTGGGAGGGAGGGACCTTAATAAAAAGAACAATGTCAGCAAGAATCTTATAGCACTTTCGAGTCTCTTAGTGTACAAGGAGAAATAGGAATCTTAAATTTGTAATGGCTTCTATCTAGTACATTGTTTTTTAATTGAAACATTTCTTCCAAGTGCTTTGTTATTGCATTATATTTTATTATCACAAAAGATGTTACTATACTGATATTTGTTTTTAAAAAAGCTGTCGATATTCAACCAGCATGCCTTGGACTCTATTGTGGGAAGACGCTGTTATTTAAAAATGGCACAAATGAAGTATATGGAGAATGTGGGGTAAGTCTTTCTTATATATTTTTTAATTTTAGAATCTTTTTTTTCCCCCCTTCCTGAAGTCCCTTTTTTTGTCGCTAATTGGGATGACAGAAGATCACACAGTTGGGTTATGGGATTTGTACACTGCATTGCAGGCTGTCCTTATTTCATCATGGTGCTTGTATATGTGCTGGTTGAGGTATTCTTGGGGGGAATCTCACTGTGGGGGGTGCAAATGCACTCATTGGGTGTCAGACTCCGCCTTGCCCATTGTTGGTTTCAGTTGCAGTGCTCACCCCAGGGTCTCTCACTCCCCCCTGCCAGTCTTTGGGCCACACCTGACGATGTTCAGGGCTTACTCCCACTTTGTACTCAGAAATTATTCCTGGTGGTGCTCAAGAGACCATATGGGATACTGGGTATCAAACCCAAATTGGCTCATGCAACGTAAATACTGTACCTGCTGTACTGTTGCACTAGCCTTGGGTTTCACAGTTCTTGAAGTGGCGTGTATGTGTGTGTGTGTGTGTGTGTGTGTGTGTGTGTGTGTGTGTGGTGTCAGGAATAAGACTCACATTTCTTATATGCCATTTATGCCCTTTACCATAGAACTACATATCCAGCCCAAGGGAAGTGTCTTTTTAGCAAGGGGTCATTAAAGCAGCAGGGATCAAACCTAGGTATCCTGCCTTCCAGGCATGCAATGCACACTTTTAGTTATATTGCCTATACATACATATGTACCTGACTCTTGCAGACACAGCGGAGCTGCTGGGATCACTTGTGATGCAAATGTGCAATACCAGGCATCAGACTCATGGCCTCACACTTGCAAGGCCTGGGCCTCAGTAGAATCCTTTAGCTTTTGAAAGTTTCACAGATAGAGTGTCCTTTACTTGTTCATTTATAAAAGAATATGAATGCACAAATAAGATCCCCTTGTGTTGTATTATCTATAACATTGGTTTTTAACTTTAACTTTATTATACCTGTGGACTGGTAGTTTAAAATCACTGGTCTTATAAATTCATTGAGAATTACTTTATTTTGGGGGGTAGGGGGTGTGGCATGAGTGAATAGTGTGGAGCACACCCAGCTGTATCAGGGTTTACTCCTGGCTCTGTATTCAGCTATCATTCTTGGCTATCATTCACTGGAACATATGTAATGCTGGGGATTGAACCCAGGTCAGCTGCATGTAAGGCAAACACCTTCCCCCTATATTATCTGTGCAGCCCTCTCAGGTTTAATAGTTTGAGGATGGGGGCATTTCAGGTCTTGGAGAACTCCAGGGCTTGCACCCAACAATGCTGGGAGATCATGTGGTGCCAGGTTTCAACTAGGGGTAAACCTCATGCAAGGAAGGACATGTACCGTAACCTCTATACTTTCTCCAGCTCCAGAATTTTATAATCTTCGAGTAATTTCTAATGATTTTATGTTAGTGATGTGGTACAGTGGCTATCCAAGAAACTTAACAAACTGTATTGTTTCTTTGCAGTTTTTTCGTATGATATTAATAACTAGGCTTTCCATTTGATGTTAGTTAATTTTTAGTAAATTTAATAACATACACACACAGACAAGTGCAAGGTAGGTTTCTTTTTGTTTTCCTTTTTTATTTCTAAGTGGTGCAATTGTAAACAAGTTTGCTGAAATAGGATGCTTTATAGAATGATTTTGTGGGGTATAATGTTCTAAAATATTGTGTCTATAAAATATTATTTCTGTGATTTATAGGTGTGTCCAAGAGGTCAGAGAACAAATGCACAGAAATTTTGTCAGCCTTGCACAGACTCTCCAGAACTTTATGATTGGCTCTACCTGGGATTCATGGCTATGCTTCCTCTTGTATTACACTGGTTTTTCATAGAATGGTACTCAGGGAAAAAGAGGTTAGTGTTTTAAAAATATCTACATTTAGTATTGTTGAAATAACATTCTAGAGGACTTTCTCAAGTAATTTATTTCTGCTGTTTTAAATGTGGTGAATTTTCTC